GAGGACTGAAAAACAATCCACAGTGAGGTAAAAATGTGCAGCTGTATAAACCAAACGAATTAATTACACTTAATCCTGATTAGACTGAATCTAAACAGTTTTTACGTTCTTCCCCTCATTCTTGTGTAATCATGTTTCCTGGTTGGTTTGGATTTTGTAGCATGTCATGTGTTCGAGGACAAATTGTTGACTAAATGTGTCACTTTTTCTTCTGATTGCAGATAGAAATCAAACAGTTTAGATTCAGTAAATGCGTTTCAAGATAAATGAAATTTTTGAATAACTAGTTATATGTTTCTGTTGGGTTTGCAGAGTTATAACTAAGGGTTCTCAAACACTGGAAATAGTTAAATTTAAGGTTCTTGGAAAGCTTCTACATCAGCTTAAAAAGAATCCAAGTTTTATTAATGAAACGATTTGCTTTAAAAGATCCTTTCAAAGTAAACCTTCAGATATAAATTGGTTATTAAAAAAAAAATGACTGCTGTTACAAAACTAGTGGTGGGAGAAAAAAAAAAATCAAAATAAGTGATTATATAGTGCAGAATTTATAAAGAGAAAATGTCTCTCAGGGATTAATTTAATATATAGCAAGCTTTTTTGATTGGTCTCTTTTACCTTTGAATTTGCTTGACCAGGTGTTGACTTGTCAAGTTTTGCCTTCTATACCTTGCATAATGTTTTTCTGTTTGTCAGGTTGTATGGAATAACATAGAACTCCCTCCTCTTTATGTGTACCAACAGAAAAGTGAAAGGAAATTGCAACCAAACAGATGCATATCATGATAAAAGACCAAACAAAGATTAGGAGACAGAACAGAAAAGGCAAATTTACAAGAAAAGAAAAAAACTACACAGTTACTGAAAATGGCATACCCAAATTTTAAACAATAAAAAAATCAACTGGGGTTTTATGCATAAAATCACAAACAGGCTGTTTGTTCTAATTAACAGCCTATCCAAACTACAACTATTAGGCATGTTTGGACTTAAATGATCTCTATCATCTTTTAAGTATAGTGTACAAGTGTGGTAATTATACATTTTTATTGTTTGCTTCTATGGCAATAGTTTTTTATGAACAGTTCTCCATGATTTTTTAATATTTCCGTTGGTCCTTTCTTTTTCCACTTTATTTTGATTTATCTTTTACTCCAAAAGATCATCATTGTTTTTGAAGTCTTTTTTTTTTTACTCTTCACTATTATGTTATTTTTATACACTCTTCAAAGGTTATTTTCTATAATCTTTTTGCTGCTAACACCAGAATTTTCCCATTGTAGGACAATAAAGACATTTTTATTCTATTCGTTTAAGAAAGAAAGCTCTCAACAAGTTTCGCAATCTTAATTGCAAAAGGAATACTGAAAATAAGACCAAAAACAGTTATTTACTAAAACGTTTATTTATCATCTTGTCCAAGAAGCAAAAATCTACAGATTAAGACATATATTAAAAAAGTCACAGGAAAATCTGGCTTCAAGAAAGAGGAGGAATCACTTTTTTATGTGGTTTTGTCTCAGTTTGAGACGTGACTTGTGTAGAAATCTGCCTTAAGTTCACAGCCCCAGCAACAGCATCCTTTTCTTTACCACGGCTGAATCTCAAACTCCTGGTTTCTTTTAAATTTAGCAAGTGTTTATAACAACAATTAAATCATTATCATTACAGAATATGGCGTAAAAGGGTCAGATATTGATTTGTTTTCTCATAGTTTAGGTTTTTTGTTTGGACTTGATGTTTTTGAGTGAAACACTCCTGTTCATCATAGTTCTTTCTCTTTGTTGTATTTGAACCATTAACCACTCTTGCAGATTGTTTTGCTTTTCTTTATTGACTTTGTCATGTTGTAATTAAGTTAAAATGGCTACTGGTGGTTTAGATAAAAATGTATCTGCTGAGACCCGTTGTCCTCATGCAGTTTTTTTGTGACTCTGGAAAAAAGAAAATTGTATAAAAATGTTAGCTCTCTGCTGCAGGGATTTCTGTTGCATTATGTTTCTAAATTTCTCTTTCTGTAAATTTAAATGTTCACATCTTCTGTTTCTGTGCAGGAGATGTCTGCTGGTTGTGTGAGGTGGCTTCTGAGCCACACGATGAGATCTGTGTGCAGCGGCAGGCCAGGCTACTGGACACCGACTCTGAGATCAGCCGGACTCTGTGAAACACACAGCATCATCGCTTCCTCCTGGAGACGATCTGCGTTCTCCACAGACGTTCCTGAAGAACAGACTCCTGCAGCAAACAAAAAGAAGCAGGATCCACGCGCCCACACCTCCATAAGCAGCGTTGGCCGGAAGATTCCCCACAGAGAGGTACAGGTGATCAGTGAGACAGGTGAGAATCTGGGGATGATGCATCGAGCCGATGTGATCAGAATCATGGATGAGAAAGATCTGAAGCTGGTGCTGCTGAGAGGAAACAAAGAGCCTCCGGTTTACCGGCTGATGAGCGGGAAACAGATCCACGAGGAGCAGCTTAGACTTCGAGAGAAAAACAAGACCAAAGCAGGTACCAATTTTAAAAGTTATTCTAAATTATCGAGTCTTTCCAGAAAAGGCTGAAGCATCCAGAGGACGACAGCTAGGCTGTTAAAACACCAAGTTTTCGGCGAAAATGTCACCATGATAAAAGGTTTTAACAAAATCCAAAAAAATCTATTAGGTTTAATCAATGAAACACCTACTTTGTTGAAATACACTTTATTTAGACGTCTTTATTTTGCAGCCTGCATAATTCAGATTAAAGGAAAATTCCGGTTTTTAACACTTTTAGCCCATTTTCTGTAGTGTCCAGGATGAAATCGAATGATCGACACCAAAATTTTGAC